TAATTGCAAGAAAAGTGAAAAAGTCACCGACATTAAAGAGATGATGTATGACGAAACTTTTGACTTTAGTCATTGACGTAACTAAAGTATTGACTAAAGGTAGTTTCTCACCAGGGCCATTTTGACGATTTGACTAAAGCAAAACCACCTGACAATGATAAAATAGGATTATCAAGAAGTTCCAAATTGTATGTGGATAAAGAATTATCATATTACAATGACGCAAGAAGAATAATTATCATGGGAGGTTTACAAATGAATTAGAAATTAAAATTTTTCTTCTTTTACAAATTAATGCAATTCTGATTATTAAACATAAATACAAGTTGTATTAACTTTATGTTTTTTCGAAATTTTGACTTTGAAGGTAACTACGCGTAATAGCAATACGTAATAATAATATTATTAATAATGTGGGATGTGAATCCATCAAAAAGACAATTAGTGAGCTTTTTTTGACTTTGCTATTAATAAACATCATGATGATGATGATAATAATAACATTAGTAATAGTAGTAATGATTTGTAACAAGTACACAAATCCAGATGCATATCATTAAAGTAGAATATTAGACGAAGATATTTCTAAATCTAAAGGCTTAAAAAGTTATACAAGTAATAATCTTGATTTTAACTCTCATCTCTTAAATGTTGATGGCGAATAAAAATTTCATTGTTAATTAATTGAACATTACTATCCACTAATTATTACTAACAATACTGTAACAATACTCATTGATTGATTAGATTCTAATAATTAAAATTTAATTTATAAATTTATTCATTATTATTATCTTTTTCTTTCGTTTCTAAATTTTGAAGTAATTTCAATACCAATTATTCAACAATTATGGTTGTCAGTTAATTGCAAGAAACGCACAATAATTCGGTGTTTATTAATTAATTAGTTTACGAATTTACTTTGGTCCTCGATTACTAACCAACGTCAGCCCTAACCTTTACTTACTCACTAAAACAAATTACGCTACTAATTGTTGTTAACACTCGATAGTTAACCAACGTTGGTTGCTCACTAAAGCAAATAAACGTGGCCTTTTACCAAAGCTCTACAATTGTTGTCCTTTACTTAAGGCATTACACTTGCTGCTTTTATAAAGTGCTTAAACAAAGAAAATAAAGAAAATGATTGTTTTTATGTTTATTTTCAAAAGATTAACTTTACTTAATAAAAATGATGATTCCATCACAGCTTTATTTTGTTAGAATGTTAATTATCTATTATTTTCCTCTGCTTTTGCAAGCAAGTACCCGATGTTATTCTTGCTTTTCAAGAGAAAATCAGAAATTAATGAAATTTTCGTTGGTCATTACAATAAGGATAAAAGATAAAGATGGAAAATTGAAGGTTTATTATTGCATTTAAATGCATGGATGCTAATCCAGATAATCGTCCAATTGCTAAAGAAATTTTTAATATTATTGATTCTTGGGATATGTTTAATAATGAATCAATTAGAAAAGAGTTTGAGAAAATGGACAAAATAAAATTTGATCCTTTGACAATTACTACAGTAAT